TCGCAGGCCCAGAATTTGACACATCACATAACCTAGCATAATCAGATTATGCTCGATTATCCTCGCGAAAAATTGCCTAATAGCAAAAAAAGCCGCCTAAAGTCGACGGGTCCGCGGTTACCGCATTATCGCGTCGAGTGCATCAGGGTTGGGATCACGACATTCTATTAGAATTTCTCTTTTATGAAGTCAGGTTGCCTAACAATTATTGTCATTATCGCCTGTCATTGAAGTAAACAAACACTCTGGATCCGGCGCACTGCTTTATGCTAGTGTGCCGAATTTGATATATGCAACCCAGCAATACAGAGGGATTGTTGTCTCGCTCGCACTCATTGCGATTAACGTAAAAGAAAGAAGAGCTTCTTCATCTTCCTAACCTCAATGATTCAAACACTTCAAACAGCTGTTCTCAATAGCCGCCATAGTGCAGAGAGAGATGCAAATCCCAGTTGTTTGTTGTCCTTCCTGGCACAAACCCCTGCGTAGGGAACATTATGCAGCCACCGTTCCAGTGTGTTTGTTTAGTTCATTGTCGCCTGTACTGTACGCGATAAATGTGTCGCGAATGACGTCATGAAAGTGGAATTCCACTTGTCATGATTCCAGCCCTGGATTCTGGATTCCCTACAGGGCCTTTATTGTCGAAACAGGAAATAAGCGTTCTGTCTTAGTTGCCCATATTTTTATTTCCATAACACTGACAAAGACAAAGCAATATCGTTCTTTCTCGTGAGAACGCTGTGCCCCGGTTTCAAGAATAGGCATCCTGGTATACAACGTTGCTGTCTCTTTCAAAATTTAATTTTCGTTTTTTTTTTATATCTACGAGTTTATTTTTTTTTATCGGTTCCTTTAGAATCTGGTTGTCAGTGATGTGCCTGTAGACAATGTCAACGTAAACAATTGATTGTCTACGTGTAGACAATTCGAATTGTTTACGTGGGCATTTGTCTACACATTGTCTACATGTGACGTAAACAATAAACTTATCTTAAAAAATTTTAAAAAAAGTTCCAAAATTACTACTACCTAAGTAGCTTATACCTATCACTTTGATATCAGCATTCACTGATTATAACTATGAGGAAAACCGATAATAAAATAAAAATAATTTTTGAAAAAGAAAGTGTGAGGTTAGAATTAAACGTCATTTATATTATTTTACATTGTTGACACGTTGTCTACATTGTCTACATTGTCTACACGTAAAGTAGACAATGAATGTCTACGTGTAGACGCACATCCCTGCTGGTTGTGTGGGGGCCCCTCAGCTCTGGGGGCCCGACGCACAGTGCGTCGTTTGCTTCATGCTAGATCCGCCACTGCCTACTTTTAAGAGTTGGACGTTTTAGTTTGAACTCTCGAACTACGCCTTTATCCTTCTTTGTTTCAAATCTAATTATTTCGGTTTCTTCAAAATGTTTACAAGACACCACAGAATTTTTCGTTATTGTATAATCTCGGGTATAATTATCTTGGTGTATTGCTTTCATCCACATTTTTTGCAATTCAGAATTTTTTTGGAAATGAAAATGTTTGCATTTCTTCAGTTTTTAAGGAACTCCTAATAGTTCGATTTGCACCCAGGAACACAGTAGTTTCATGGCATCTGGAACAAGTTTAAATATTTTAGGTAATATATCGAGACCTATGCTCTTGCAGACAAATAATAATATTGTTTTTATTGTTTTACCTTACCTTACCTTCATTTTTGCTCCTGTACCCATTTACTAAAAATTTGCAATCAAAGCACAAAGGAACAGGTATCAACTAAATATGGGCAATATATTGGTGTGTTTCTATCCACTTTTTCGTCAATAATGCCCACAAAAATACTAAACTGCAACAATACACAATGAAAGCAATACACAGAAACACATAACCCAATAACAAAATAGCACCATACGCGACGTTGCCGTCATTTCCAACTTCATGGCTTGTTAAGTATAGGAGGCTGTGGTCAGTTCGTATAGTTATTTCTATGAGTTCACACGCTCTGCTTTCCACGCTGTGTTCGATATAATAAATATATTGAATATCGATAATTAACAAGTTCTTTTATTTCTTAGTCCATTTCCCAACAGTTATTAGCTACCAAAAAAGTAGCTAAGCTAGTAGCTTAACTACTTGGTAGCTAGCTACTGTCCAGCTCTGAGCCCTGGAAAAATAATTTAAAAAATCCTTCTCGACCATTCTTGGAAATATGAAGAGGTAAATGTGGAAATTCAACTTCCTTATTTTTGATATTTCTTTCAAATTGCAATATCTTGTAGGTACAAAGTGTTAGGTATCTTTTATCTTTTGTTGATTCATTACATATTAGTTTAAAAAAAATTGTTGTTAACCTTTAAAACGCATTATGATAATTGCAAAATCTCTAAATTACAACAGGAAAAATTGATCTGACAACATTTTTCAGTCACCTTCGAACTTTCCAGGTAATTACATAGGTATTTAATTTAATTCTGTGAAAAATTGTCAACGGGATATTTTCAGTGTTGCCGATTTTAATAAACATTAAAATGCTAAACACTTTCTTAAGAATGCCACCAGATTTTTTAAATTATTTTTCTGGGGTTTCTTGAAGGGTCCCCTTACTACGTAGTGGAGAGCTTTTACGGTATTTTCCGGACACCCTGTATATCTATTTTTTTTACATCTACAATATAGATCTGTTCTCACAGACATCACATACCTATCAGAGCGAATTTCATTGGTTATAAACTATCAGAAAACTAGTTTCTGGCGATTTGTACCAATCAAAAACACTCCGACTGGTTTGTGATTTCTGTGAGAACAGACGTGCTCATGTAATAAGTAAACGTAAGTGTGTTTTTTTTTAAAGATAAAAGTCAAAATGACATTATGTTGGCAATACAATGTAAAATTGTTAATGCTTTCAAATTTTTTATGTGGAAAAGGCTTGTGTTGCCAACATAGTTACTGAATTTTTGACTTGGGGAATTATCTTTAAAAAAAAACACAGACTTTATGATATACGCTTTTTAAAAAATGAAGTTACTTTTTTTGTCTTACTCTCTAAGCGATAGCCTAAAATTCATTGTTTATCATATTGATCTTTAACCATTTTGAAAAATCAATTTGAGAAGGGGGGCGCCAGAATTGAACTTTGCCTCGGCATAAAATACCTATTGGACCGGCCCTGAGGACCTGAGGTTGGGGGTTGCTCTTCAGGAAGACACACAACTACAAAAGGTACTTATCGTATATTTCTTACTAGTGAGTACATTACCAAAGCGATACTACGCAGGTATGCCACATGACTCTTGCGTTTGGGGCTATATGTATCTATACGGGGGTGCAACTAGTTCCCGCACGTATTGTATAGCGGCGATGCCCTAAACGGGATTGCTCCAAGACTCTTTGGGGTGAGGTGACCCTGAAGAGACGTGTAGCTACTGCTCCCTTAGGTAAGGAGACCTTGAGGAGAGAGATGCAAACCAAAAGGGATTAATACCACTTCCTGAGGTAAAGAGACCCTGAGAAGAGAAAGACCCGAATCGATGCCGATACCATGGGTTTTTATATCCATTTCATGTGAAGATTAGTTTACGCATTGACCTGCTTAATCTGCTGACTGTTGATAAACCGTATTCTAGTTTTAATTAATGGGTTTTTGATATACAGGATGGTTTTTATTTATAAACCAGTTGACAATATCACTGAGTAAAAACAATCTTCGCATTCTCATTGGACTCCTTACAGGCCGCTACCGGTTAAGAGGGTCCCATGAGAGAAATAAAATCAAAAACGAAGACAGCTGCCGGTTCTGTGAGGAAGGAAAGAAAACTCCAGAACATCTTCTCACGAAGTGCAATGCGTTCGTGAACAAACGAATTGCCTACTTCGCATGCTGCACCGTTGGACAGGAAGAAAGTCCATCCATAGAACCATTTAGCTTACTTGCGTTTATATAAAGGCTTTGAAGCTGGATGAGGTGCTTTGAGTGAGAATACTATCAACTGAAGCACCCAGAAGGGGGGCACAATAGATCTCTGCAGGTCGCAGCAGTGTAACAATACCCTTGAAGTCTTAATAAGACTGAAATTACTGAAAATTAAAATGTAGTAGAAATACAAAACTTGACATTTTATTATATGTATATTTCGATGACTTTGCAGTCCTAATAAGAAAACGTTTTTCCCAAAATTTGTATTTTTCAAACACTTTTTTTCAGACCGACTTTCAACTGTATGAAAATCAAAAGTACCTGCTTAATATATTTTTTAATAGAGCCCCCCTGTGTATTTATCTATTTACAATCTGATGTCCAAAGGTAAAGGTAAAATGTATCACCTTTCAGTGTTATTTGATAGGAAAAATGATAAATTTACCAATTTACCTTTACCTTTGGACTACGGATTGTGGATAGAATATAGAGAGTAGTTTGATAGATGTACCAATAAAATGATAGGACACTCCTCCAATAAAAACTGAAAAATGAGACACTGATTTTTTAAAATTGTTTACAAATAATTGTAGAATCAACTACCATAACAAAATTGTATTTAATTTAACGCGTAATCGCTTTCTCTTCTTTCTTTAGGCAAACCTAAAGAAAACAATAATTTTTTTGTCACCATAACTACTCTACTACTCTTAGTTTCTAAAATGTAATTTAACGCCTCATAGATTTTTGTTAAGTATTTTGAATCAATCGGAGGTACCTAAATGGTATAACACAGATTTACTGTATAAATATCAAATTTATTATAGAGGAAGTATTAGTCGATTTTATGTGTTCAAACAGGAAGTGTAGCAAAAGTTTGTCAAATATGTTCAGTTATAAGGTAAATATTATTATAGATTGTTGAATTTGAATTTTAGACTCGTTAGTAGGGCATTAAAATTACACAGATTAGTGTTTCAATACTTATTTTCTTTCCTTTTTTGATTCAAAAACTTTCTGTTTTTAGAAGATACTAGGTATATTTAGTTGATTTGTGTTTGATACATCTGCATATAGATTTTGTTGTCCAATTTAAAAAAATCTTTAAAATTTATACCTAGTCTTATTATTGAATTTACTGCTAATGGTTCTAGAAATATCTTGAATGATAGTTTTGAAAGTACCTTATATTCCTTTTTCTATACCCTTTTGTATTGTATGTGTAAAAATTGGCAAATAAATACACTCGACGATATGAACCCAAAAACTTAACTTTACATATTTGTTTCCTATTTACAGTTTTTCTTCCTTATGGTCACATTTATCAGTATGATTTTTGCAAGTCCGCTACCCTACGAAGACGATCAAGAATCTGCACCATCAGGTAATTTTTTGTATTAAAAAAAAATGAAATTTTTACATAGTAAATTTTGGTTGGTTATAGAACATAATGGTAGAGTACAAATAAAAGTCTTCAGAGGACCCACAGAGCACGACGGTCATGATCATTTCGCACCTTGGGGTTATTGGGTCAAACAACCAGGAGATGATCACCATTAGTATAGTTTATTGTTATCTTATTTGTGTTTTTTTTGTTTTTTCTAAATACATTTTTTATATTTTATTATTTTTTAGTTATGATATAGTCTTATACTAAATATATTCGTTAACTTTGGTGATCCAAAATGATCAAATTCTTCTAAACAGACTATCGAAAATATACCGCCTTTACCAGGTAGGCCAGGGCAATTAAATTTTTTCGTAACATAAAATTTAACAGCAAACTATCGATGCAGTATTGTTAAGGAACATTTATAGATGCTAAAAACCAAAAATTCAACATCTAATTACTTTTAGGGGATCAGTGGCGGCTCGTCAGAGGAGGCAGAGGAGGCTAAACCTCCCCCAAAAAATTGAAAATTCAATCTCAATTTTTCATTCCTGATTTCTAATTGAAATAATAATTCACAAATTACACAACAGAATTCCAATTTTCGATATTTCAATGTAATTTAGAAAAATCTGACAACAATATTTCAATCAATCCCGCGCCTCCACGACAAAAATCTGTGAATCTGGTATACTCAGTAATACCGGCCCAATACCGGCCCGCAGGGCCGGAGTAATATGAGCCCGAAAGGCTAGAATTATACGCGAGCCCGAAGGGCCGGAGTTATAGGCGAGCCCGAAGGGCCGGAGTTATACGCGAGCCCGAAGGGCTAGAGTTATTTTAATCACGGAGCTCAGTCTATAATTCTATTGGTCAGCGGATAATTTAGAACCAATTAAAAACCGGGAGTATTTAAAATGCGATTTTTAGCGTCCGATCAAAGAGCCGGGAATATTCAAAAACTTTAGTTTTATCAAATTGATTTTGGAATGTTGGTTTTCTATGGGGTTTTCTTAAGAATTTTACTTTTTTCAGAAAACGGTGGTTTTTGCAAACATATATTACTTTATCGTTGTCTTTGTCTTACTCACTATAATCAATAAGTAAACTTTATAATGTCATTTTCATTGATTTATTAATTTCATTATTAATTAATTATTAAATTGAATTTTAAACAAAAAACTCGTTTAAAATGTTATTTTTGTTTTCCGAGATGTGATGTGGCAACGTTGCTTTTAGTTGGCCATTTTGAAGTGACGCCTTGTGATTTTTTGCCAGTTTTTTCTCGAATTTTCGATTTTTCCGGAGTTTTTTAATGGAAAAAAGCAATTTACCGTGCGAGGTTTTGAATTTTCTTCATTTTCCACCAAAAATTTCCAGTGTTTTAACGGGGAAGTGAGAAAAACTTTAATTTTATCAAGTAGGTTTTGGAATGTCATTTTCGTTGTTTTTTTTTTGGAATTTTTATTTAAGGTTTTTGGGGTCCGGGGATCGTTTTCTACCAATTTTATTCTCGAAATTCGCAAAATAAAAAAAAACTTTTTTGACGTTAACAGCAGTCAAATTTTTTTTGACACAAATCGATAGTTGGCGTCGTGAAACTGCCTTGTACCGGGGTTTGATTTTCGTAGCTTTTATAGTAGAGCGGGGAAAAAGTCGAACATGTGTCAAATTTGACAGGTGACATCTGTCGATATTGCCAAAGTGTTGTGCGACAAAAGTTTTATCCGAACGAACCCGTTCATTGTTAACTGATTTTAATACTCCGGCCCTTCGGGCCGTAATCATTGAAACAAAACGTCATTTTGTATCGATTGTCAAAAAAACTCAAAGTTTGACATTTCAATTTTTTGACGTTTGTTGTATCATGAACAATGTTGCCATATGTTTTTTTTTCAAATCTCGAGCTCGAAGGGTCGAGATTATAGGTTATTTTAAAGCCAATCAAGAGCCGGGAATATTCAAAATTTAAAGCCAATCAAGAGCCGGTAATAATCAAAATTCGAATCCCCAAACCAATCAGGAGCCGGGAAAATTCAAAAATTCGAATTCCAAACCCGACGGGAAATTGAATTTTTTGTACCAACTGTTTTTTTGGAAAAAACAAAAGATTTTTTTTTTGAGATTGACAGCTGTCAAAAAACGTAGGAAGTACCAATTTTTTTTTTTTTAACATATGTCAAAAAAGACATTCTTCGTTGCCAGGCGGTTGGTTTTTGATATAGGTATATATCGATGAAACTTCTTATTTTAGGGTTTTCGGAGCCTAGGGATCGTTTTCTGACATTTGTTTTTTGAAAAAAAGGAAAGGTAAAAATTTTTGACATTGACAGTTGTCAAAATTTAAAAAAAAGACCCACATGGACATATAGATTTAGCCTCGGCGAATACGTAGAAAGTAGCCAAACAGGGCCAATTTTTTGTTGTTTGTTGTATTATAAGCAGTGTTGCCATATGTTTTTTTTCGAATCTCGATTCTGAAAGGCTGAGGTTATCTCAATTATGAGCTCAAAAGGGCCGAGGTTATACGAGTCCGAAGGGCCGGAATCATGCGAACCCGAAGGGCCGGAGTTATACGAGCCCGACAGGCCGGAGTTATTTTAATCATGAGCCCGAAGGTCCGAGGTTATACGAGCCCAAAGGGCCGGAGTTATACAAACCCGTTCATAGTCAACTAATTTTAATACTTCGGCCCTTCGGATCGTAATCTTTGAAACAAAAAGACGCCATTTTATATCGACTGTCAAAAAAACCAAGGCCTACTTTGATATTTCAATTTTTTGACGTTTGTTCTTATCATGAGCAGCGTTGCCATATGATTTTATCAAATCTCGATTTATAGGTCATTTTAAACCCATCATTGACATTTCTGAAAAATATTTCCTTTAAAATTCCCAAATATCCTTTGGAATCCCCAAAAATCTATTAAAATCTCAGAATTCCATAATTTAGTGGAATTTCGGTAGAATAATTATGTTATTCTGAAAAAGGAATTAGATGAGAAATTTTTGTGGAGTTTCCATAGAATTCACATTAAATTTTGATCGAATTACACGAAATCCTAAATGAATTACATGGAGGAATTTTAAACAATTACATGAAATTACCCCTAAATTCCCAACATGAAATTTCAGTTTTTTACTGAATTTTAGTAATGCCGAGGAATTTTTAGCTAAAAACATGGAATTTCGGTGATATCCCCAAAAATTAGCATGTAATGACCTGAAATTTCAATATATTTCGATGATTTTTTAAGAAATTACTTGAAACTTCATTAATATTCCCAGCTGGCTATTAAAAGAGAATTTTAGTGAAATTCCGAAAAATTCTTACGATTATAAATTAAATTTTGAAAATTCCTTGAAGTTTCATTGAACTTTTGAGAAATTTTCGGTTATGAACGTGGATATTCTCATAAAATTTTAGTGAATTCCGAGAAATTTTTAAGAAATTACATGAAATGTCAATGAAATTCGGTAGGATTTTATGAAAATTTTGTGGAATTCCAGGATATTTCAGTGGTAAAATTTTGAGAAATTTTGGTAAAGTTAAAAAAAAAAATATGGAATTTTGAAATTGAAATCTTAGTGGAATTCCGAGGAATTTCATGAAATTCTATACTGTTATTTAGCCTCCTCACTTGAAGTAAATAGTCACGAGCCGCCACTGTAGGGGATTTTATAAACAATATTTAGTGCAAAAATAGGGCTTTTTTTGTTTATTTCACTATATTTCGAAAACTAATGATCGGATGGTTTTGCTACTCTGGCAATAGTTTTAGAGCATTGAACAAGCTTTACAATGAGCCATCATACAACCCTGTAGGTCTTTTAGTCTTCGAGAAATGATTGTTTTCTCCTCAACAAAGAGATTTTCGTAAAAAATTCCTAACTTTTTTAATTTTCATGCTAGACAATTAATTTTTTACACATACATAGTAGATGAGGCAGGCTTTATTGAGCCCAAATTTGGGCCCGGTCCGATGGGTCGTTTCGGCATAATATCCTTGTCAAGCAAAATGGGGATGTTTCTAAAGCAGTCTGTCGAATTGGGGATAATTTTTTTATATTCATTTTGAAAAGTCCACTGATAAGTCGAAATGCCAAACTATCGATCCTCTATCTCAGATTTTCCATTTAATTTTTTTATCGCAAGTAAAACGGCTCCAAACATCACTGAAAATGGAAAAAAAATGTAATTTGTGTGGGCGGGGGGGAGCTCGCTGTCACTCTGTTTGAATTCCCGTCAATGTTTTCCATTTTCAGTCATGTTCGAAGCCGTTTTACTTGCGATAAAAAAATTAAATGGAAAATCTGAGATAGAGGATCGATAGTTTGGCATTTCGACTTATCAATAAAGCCTGCCTCATCTACTATGTATGTGTAAAAAATGAATTATCTAGCATGAAAATTAAAAAAGTTAGGAATTTTTTACGAAAATCTCTTTTTTCGGGGGAAAAAAATCATTTTTCGAAGACTAAAAGACCTACAGAGTTGTATGATGGCTCATTGTAAAGCTTGTTGCTCTAAAACTATTGCCACAGTAGCAAAACCATCCGATCCTTAGTTCTCGAAATACAGTGAAATAAACAAAAAAAGGTCCTGTTTTTGCACTAAATATTGTTTATAAAATCCCCTAAAAGTAATTAGATGTTGTTTTGGTTTTTAGCATCTAAATGATCCTTAACAATATTGCATCGATAGTTTGCTGTTAAATTTTATGGTAAAATATGGCTGTTATTTCGCTAAGTGCCTTGGCCTAAGGTTCAAATTCCTTCCTTTATAGGACTTTTACAGTAGTTGTCATTGCCAATAGTCTTGATAAATAATATACAAATCATACTTACCGTAGTTGGGCAATTCAGCAATTAAAATAAAAACATTTCCTCTTTGCTTACCATATAACACTTTTTATTCCTTAGTACAGTTTTTTTTTTAGTTTTAAACGACACTGTATAACAAATCATTCGCTTAAATCATTGACAAAAGCCTCAATTTGAGCCACAATTTGTTTAATTTTATAAATAGAGATCTTTATAGTGCAGCAAAAAAATGTTAGTCCACAGAGACTGTCAATATAACTCGAAAAATGTGCGTAAATCCATTACTCTTTCTTTGCTGTACTATGTATGTACAATTATGTCTTAAACCTATACAAAAAGAAAAAAAATGTATTATATAAAAAGCAAAATATTGAACACTTCATCATACAGCGCCATCTAAGCGAATAAAAAACGACAAAATCCACATAAGAATCTTTCCATTTTTGTTTAGTTTGTTTAATTTTACCTTACGTATATTTTTATTTAATTCTGCGTTTTTCATTTTTTTATTTTTTCAACTACCTTTTAAGTACTTTACAAAACAAACTTGCTAAGTAGGGAAAAGGGGGTCTCGCATCTTCTTAAACAACAAAGTGAATTTTTCTAAATTAAAAAAAAAAAAAGAAAAAAAACGCAAAGTACTCACGACCGGACTGAGAAACCAATACCTGTTTAAAGGTTTTGGGGTATTTTGGTCCTGCGCACTTTGGTGTTTTTTTTTCTTGGTTGATTGTACAAAATATCCTAAATAAATATTTAATATGAAATACACATAGTTTTGAGTGGTCGACAAATAGGATTTTTTTTTAGTTCAATAATTCGAAAAAGAAATACTGATACCCTTCCGGCAGAATTAATGTCACTAGTGACCATCGTTTTCTCATATATGCAGAACAATCTATGTAAGGTGCTTATGGAAAATATGTGGAAGTGGAAGATTTTAGACATCCAAAAGATTGTTGGAAGAAACTGGATGAAAATAGATATTGGCAGGCAGAAATGGAAAAATATTCAAACAGGTTGATAAGAAGATAATCTAGGATCAGTTCGATCAGTAACTGCTGTATGGAAATTAGTGGATAATCGGATTTTTTTTTTTATTTCCGAAAACGAGATCTTGTATCATCCTCATTGATATTTGGTATTTCATAAACTTCTCCTAGTCTATTTTGTTTTTTATTTTTCTAGTTTCTGAGTTATATCATTTTCCTTATGTTCCTAAAATTTCCATCAACTTCTTCGTTTAGTTCATTCCAAGATAGACTGATATCAATTATACTATATCTGAATTGTATTTGTTGCTATGCTTTGAGCGAGGATCATATTAATAAAATACAAAAGAATAATTCAAAGGCTGAAAACGTCATTCTCTAAGGGACTAGTAGACAAAAACTGTTTTTCTTTAGCATATTTTATGTATATACAATCCAATTAAATCTGTTAAAATCCTATATGCTGACCAATCAAAACTAGACACAAATCAATTTTTTTTTTTTTTTGTGGTCTACGAAGGCGTTCAAGTAAAAATATTGCACTATAGCACGATAAATAACAAAAAAAAAAAAATATATATAAAAATGATCTATGTAAAAATAGGTTAACATTGTGTAAAATTAACATACATATAAACAACAATAATTAATTAGAATGACAAATTTTTAAAATTTAATCAATAATAATAATAGTGGAGAAAAAAACATTTAAATAATAATTAACACAACAGGATGATAGTTTAGCTTTTTTTTTTGTTTGTTCTAATACGCGGATTTCCTTCTGATGTATGATGGCTTTTTGTCGACAATAGTTTAGTTTTGTTTATTTATTTTTTTACGCTTTTCATTACAATTATTGTTATGCAGCCAAATTTTTTGGTAAATTTTGTTTATTTGGCACCTTTTCGTTTTAAGAAAAAAAATAATTTGTGCTTAAGATGCATTTATATACAAAATATAAAAGATCAGAGAGAATTTCGGCGCTTGATTCAGAAAGAATTATTTTAGCGACAGAAAAATAAATTTGGCTACATAACACCAAGTAACCAATTACACAGGATGGGTCTGGGTGGGGAAAATCGTTACACCGACAAATAAATTTACACTCAAATACATAAAATGTCAAAATTGTTGAGGGGGGAAAAATGTACACTGACACTGAAAAGTTTCTTTTTCTCTAAATCACTATTATAAAAACACAATTCACTGGTCTATGTTAATGATTCCATAATATTTTATGTTATCATCTAAAAACATTTAAAATTGAAATAAGTCCTAATTTACAGATCTTTTTGTTTCATATTCAAAGAGATACAAAACATAAATACACTTCCAAAATCGAGCTGAAGGAAAACTAAAAGAATTTTCAATAAATATTCTTCTAGCTTTTTACATTGGACTATTTGCTCTTGTCAAAATAAAGTAAGACAGAACACAATCACAATTATCTGAATAAATTCAGTTCGAGGGTGTAGAAGGAGATAGGGACAAAAGGGAATTTATTATTTTCCATGCGTTCACCAGTCAAATACACGTTCTATATCACGAAAATTGGCAGGGGTGGGTCAAGATTACATCTTCACCCTTGAACAAATGAAAGTTCTTTTTTTAAAAAAATATACAAATTTGGAAGCATTCTATTTAGACACAAAACCGTAATAAATAATCAAACTTTGTTCCTTTTTCATTTGCCCACCCTGCTAAAATAAGACTATGAATTTGAACGAACTTGGCTTTTACTAGCGCATATCCGCGCAGCTTTTTAGAGTTAAAGAGTGATTTTTTTCGAGGGCTTCAAAAATATGAGAAAATTCTCACTTTTGCGTTGTATTGAATTGGTCCTGTGTTTGACGAATTTCCCTATAATAACTTATCGAGAAATTAACGCCTTGAAAAAATAAATAAAATCCTTTCTATGACACTTTTGAATAACAGATGGCAGTGTTTTGACGTTTATGCAGATTAGGAATGCTTTCAACGTTATTGTTGCTTCTGGGACGTTTTTATATTGTTCACAAGAAGTGTAGTGACTCATGCTAGGAGGAGTTTTATAATACAACAAAACATTTTAATATTCGCCCCAAAGATAGTAAATTAAAAATTTCAAGATGTTGGCCTGTCCTATGATATCACTTAGAAACTGGGTAGTATCGCACTGGCAAACTGTCATCACAAGTTTGGAAGAAGTCGCTTTCACAAGTGCCGCCAAATCGTGATTATCAGTTTCTAGTGCGAACACAAACCACGTTGTTTTCACTGTTATAAAAAATTTAACAAAATTTACAAATAATGAGCCGCCCTTCAGGATCCAGCTCTACACCATTTCAACCTCAATTTCGGAAAAAGTAACTTTTATTTAGGAAAATGTAATGTCAAATTCAAAAAAAGTCAAATCAATTTCAGAAAAAGTAAAGTTAATTTCGGAAAAAGTAAATTCAAATTCGGAAAATGTAAATTCAAATTCGGAAAAAGTGAATTCAAATTCGGAAAAAATACTTTCAGTTACGGAGAAAGTAATGTTATTTTTTATAGAATAATTTGAATTGATTGAGTCATTTATCTATTCAGAAAATCAAAAAATTTGTCCATATTTCTCAAAGAGACCCGATTTTTAAACAATAAAAGAAAAAAAAATTACCAAGTCTCTAGATTGTTTGATAATTTATTCACTTAATAGTGACATGTGTTTCGCTCCATATCATCAGACCTACAAAATAATATACATAGAACCAATATATATACACCATTTCAACCTCAATTTCGGAAAAAGTAACTTTTATTTAGGAAAATGTAAAGTCATTTTCGGAAAAAGTCAAATCAATTTCAGAAAAAGTAAAGTTAATTTCGGAAAAAGTATAAATTCAAATTCAGAAAAAGTTAATTCAATTTCGGAAAAAGTAAATTCAAATTCGGAAAAACTACATTCAATTACGGAGAAAGTAATGTTATTTTTTAGAATAATTCGAATTGATAAAAAGTAAATTTAGCAATGACTATAAACTATATACCTCCGGTCGAACCCGTATACCCGGAAGGATTCGATTCCAATCAGTGTACTATTATTTTGTAGGTCTGATGATGATCATATGCGCGAAACACATGTCACTATTGAGAGAATAAAATAATAAACCATCTGTATGTACATGTCAAATGTCAGATTCAAAAAGATAACTATCGAAGTCTATTGATATGTGCCTTTTCAAATTACCTTTTTGTTTACATTTTGCATTGCATATGTTGCATTTAAAATTCTTCTCATCCAAGTGTGTTAGTTTGTGTCTCTTCAAACTGCCTTTTCTTTTAAATTTTGCTTTGCAAATGCTGCATTCAAAATTCTTCTCATCCGAGTGTGTTAATATGTGCCTTTTCAAACTACGTTTGTGTTCAAATTTTGCATTGCATGTGTCACATTTAAAAGGATAAATATCAGAATTTGTTAGTTTGTTTCTCTTCAGACAGTATTTTCCTTTGAACTTTGCTCCGCAAATGTCAGATTCAAAAAGATAACTATCGAAGTCTGTTGATATGTGCCTTCTCCAATTACCTTTTTGTACAAATTTTGCATTGCATATGTTGCATTTAAAATTCTTCTCATCCAAGGGTGTTAGTTTGTGTCTCTTCAAACTGCCTTTTCTTTTAAATTTTGCCTTGCAAATGTTACATCTAAAATTCTTCTCATCCGAGTGTGTTAATATGTGGCTTTTCAAACTACGTTTGTGTTCAAATTTTGCATTGCATGTGTCACATTTAAAAGGATAAATATCAGAATGTGTTAGTTTGTGTCTCTTCAAACAGTCTTTTCCTTTGAATTTTGCTCCGCAAATGTCAGATTCAAAAAGATAACTATCAAAGTCTGTTGATATGTGCCTTTTTAAATTACCTTTTTGTTTAAATTTTGCATTGCATATGTTGCATTTGAAATTCTTCTCATCCGTGTGTTAGTTTGTGTCTCTTCAAACTGCCTTTTCTTTTAAATTTTGCTTTGCAAATGTTGCATTTAAAATTCTTCTCATCCGATTGTGTTAATATGTGTGCGTTCAAATCACCTTTTCCTTTAAATTTTTTCTTACCAGTGTCACATTTAAAAGGAAAAATATCCGAGAGTGTTGATATGTGATGCTGTAACTCATTTTTTTCCGCTTTGTAAGTGTTACATTCGAAAGGACAAATATCCAAATGTGTTATTAAATGATGTTCCAAATTTGATTTGGTTTTAAATGTAGCATTGCAAGTGTAACACTGAAACTTCCTCATAACATCTTGTCTTGATAAATTGATGTTACTCGAATGTTCTTTTTCCATTATAAATATTCCTTTATTTGGATCTATTAATTCAATATCTGATTCTTCTGTTTCGTTTTTAATGTCATCCTCTATGTATGTACACCATTTCAACCTCAATTTCGGAAAAAGTAACTTTTATTTAGGAAAATGTCAAGTCATTTCCGGAAAAACTCAAATCAATTTCAGAAAAAGTAATGGTAATTTCGGAAAAAGTAAAGTTAATTTCGGAAAAAGTAAATTCAAAGTAGGAAAATGTTAATTCATTCATAGCTTACTTTTGCCGAATTTGAATTTACTTTTTCCGAATTTGAATTTACTTTTTCCGAAATTAACTTTACTTTTTCTGAAATTGATTTGACTTTTTCCGAAAATAACTTTACATTTTCCTAAATAAAAGTTACTTTTTCCGAAATTGAGGTTGAAATGGTGTAGAACCAAGTTAAAGTACAATGATTGAAATCGAACCCGTCAGGGTACGGGTTCGACTGGAGGTTTATACTGTAGTCACTGCTAAATTTACTTTTTATCAATTCGAATTATTCTTAAAAATAACATTACTTTCTCCGTAATTGAATGTACTTTTTCCGAATTTGAATTTACTTTTTCCGAATTTGAATTTACTTTTTCCGAAATTAAATTTACTTTTTCTGAAATTGATTTGACTTTTTCCGAAAATGACTTTACATTTTCCTAAATAAAAGTTACTTTTTCCGAAATTGAGGTTTAAATGGTGTAGATCAACATCTGAGAGATCCCACAGATTCCGAAAATCCCAATCGGAGTTGGAGGAGCGCCTCTTTAGGCTTGACAAACTGCTTAGTAGGGAGCGAAAGCAGAGTCCTTCTTCTTCCTCAGAATCCTCAGACTCAAGTAAGAAACATTATGAATCTAAGAGGGTTAAGTCTAAAGTCCTAAAGGTCCATTAGGCCTTCACAAAAAACCGATGCCAGGTCCAATAGGATGTTAGAATCAAAGCGGGATGCGGCGAATAGGTCTACTAGCCCCAACTTGGCGCTTATGCATAATACATCTAGGGAGTCTAATAGGACTCCTCAAGACAAGGAAAATATTCCTCCCCAAAACGAGGAAAATAATCCTCCCCAAGACGAGGAAAATATTCCTCCCCAAGACCCCTGCTGTTCCAGTGCCATACCAGAAATTCCCTCAGACGAGGAAATGCTAGAGTGTTGGGGTGAAAATCTTTTGAAAAAAGAAACCACCGGCATTAGCCTTCCCCAATCTCTAGCAAAGATATGGGATAAACTATTGGTTGGAGGAGCTAGCAACGAGACCGTTAGGGATCTTTGCTCTATGTACCCAAAACTCGAAAACATAAGATTCCTAAAAGTAGCCACTTTAAAGCCGGAATTATCCAGCCTGATAAATTGTCTGCTGCAGGAATACCTGGCAGCAGCAATCACAGGTGTTGGATATTTAACAAACACATTGCTGGACGAGAAGGAAAAATATCAAAGGGAAAAAGATGCATTTGAACATGCAGACAAGGTGGGGCAGATTTTGACAATCTCACCCAACACATGTCTCCAACTATAGAAGGGCCGATATAGCTCCACTTTTGTCCAAATCAGCCAAAGAAGCTAGTTTCAGCAATAATGTGGACAATGATTTGTTAGGCTCAGATTTTAATGGAAAACATAAAAAACTGGACGACCTAGGAAAATCGTTAAAGACCTTAAAAGTTGTTACACAGAAGCCTCTTACAATCAACAAGAAACCTGCCTCCCCCTAACAGTATGCAACCAAACAGCAGTCCAGAAGTGGTTCTTTAAACTCCTGGGGCCCATCTCGGAGGAGGGAACCGAGGTGCAAATAGGGCCAATTCCATCAGGAGAGGAAAAACAAAACGCAGAGCAGACGAAATTAGATGTTAGTACAGCTGAGAATACAAGCCTGTTCTTGGATAAATGGAAAAACATAACAAATAACTAAAATAATCTTGCAATGGGTATCTGGATACAGATTACCATTCCTAGATAATCCAAGATCAAACTTTCAAAATTTAGGCCACATTCTAATAAGAATCAAGATCAAATATCCACTTGTAATATAAAGATTTTACAATCAGGTGTTATAGAGGAAATCAAGCCCTCCATTCACCCTTACTTGTCTCCCTTCTTCTTAAATATTGAATCAGGTAAAAATCCGAGGAATTTAAATACTCTAAATTCATACTTAGAACCAATCCATTTTAAAATGTGTATACTATCTACTTGAAGAAAGCCTACTATAGCATACCAATTGCTAGTGACCACAGACATTTGACAAAAAGATCTACCAATAGAAATTTTTACCATTTTTACCATCTGCCCCTTATGCCTTCACAAAAATATCTAAACCTATAGTATCCTGGCTACGCTTCGAGAGCATCACATGCATAGTTTATCTGGATGACTACTTAATAGTTCATAAAGATCCACAAATGCGTTCACGAAATGCACATAAAACATGCCAATCTTTGGAATCACTTGGATTTAATGTCAATTATGAAAAATCTAAATTAGATCCACAAAACAAGTGCGTCTATCTTGGATTTTCATTTGATTCCATTCTTATGCACATTTCACTCACGGATGAAAGGAGAGCAAAGATCTCCAATCTATAAGTTCAATTGCTAATAAAAAAAATCTTTCTATTAGATTTTTTGCTAGTGTATTTAGAGCCTTTGTAGCATCTTGTCCAGCCCTTAAATATGACTGGCTCTATACAAAAGAATTGGAAAACCTTATCACTAATGACAAACAATGATAATTATAATTCATTAGTGACCTTGCCCAAAAATCTTTAACAAGATATTTTTTGGTGGCAAAATGCCATTAATAACTCATTTAATGTAATAAGGCAAGACAATTTTGACATGGTAATATTAACAGACTCTAGTCTTTCAGGTTGGGGGGACAGTCATGAACAATAGCTCCACTCATGGATGGTGGTCTAAACACATAAACTTTCTTGAATTGAAAACAATTTTACTTGCACTTAAAAGTCTAATTCCAAATGCCAAATCTAAAAATGTTCTTTTGCGCGTAGACAACATCACTGCCATTGCCTATATCAACCGCATGGGTAGTGTGAAATTCCCAGCAGAACTAACAAATATTACTAGGGAAATTTGGCAGTGGTGTGAAGAAAGAGACATTGATTCAGGCTTCGACACCAAGGAAAACATGGACAAACAGCTCCTAATGGAAATTAGTGCAATGTTCCAAGCAGTTTGAAGACAAAATCACCAAGCAGTACGACAGTGAAATGAAAGATCTGAAAGCTAGCATTGAATATATGCCCGAAAAGTTTGATCAACAATGTAAACTTTATGAAGACTGTAGGTAAACAAGAAAATAGAAAAACAAGAACTACATCAACGGGTGCAGCTTCTTGAAAATAAACTAAATATAAGAGAGCAGTATGAAAAACAAAACAATATATTGGTTACTGGAATACCAATTCAAGAAACTAAAACGATTGAGAAATCTGTATCTGAGCTATTTGTGGGAATGGGTATAAAGCTGGGTGAGGAAGATATTGCTCATTGTCATAGAATTAACACAAATGCCGAAACCAGACGAATACTTATCAAATGTAAAACTTTGGAAGTCAAACAACAAATATTTAAACAGAGAAAAGTAATTGAAAGCATTACTACGAGAGTGTAAATTTGCAGAACCAAAAAAACATATTTACTTGAATAATGAATTGACAAAACATAACCAAGGCTTGTTTAAGGCTGCAAGAAACTATAAAAATAAAAATAATTTTAAAGCTGCTTATGTTAGTAATGGGAAAATATTTATTAAAAAACTGAGCAGGGCTCTCAGAATATATTCTGAGCAAGACCTGGTGGCCTAGGCTTACTAGGCCAGTGATTAATACTGTAAATAACCTGTACATAGATATTTATTTATAACAGAACTTCGCTTGAGTTTGTTGTATACCAATATGAGGAGTTTAAGAAATAAGTTGGAGGATATTGAAACTATGGTAAAAACCTATAATGAACCTCAAGTATTGGTATTTACGGAAAATTGGATATATAAGGAAGAAACAAAATCACAAAATGTTGATAGGTATAATGTGGAGCATAACTGTAGACCAACTATAGGTGGAGGTGTATCAGTTTACATAGGTAAGTTTTTAAAATACAGTATTGAGATGAATAAATCCATTTCCAATTGTCACTGGTTAATAATACAAATTATTAATCCTAATATCAAAATATTTACTGTATACAGACCTCCATCTGGTAATTACATCCTTTATTTGAATGACTTGGACAATAATTTAAAGGATCCCACTTTATTGATTGGAGACATTAACATGAACTTATTCAAAAATTTGGAAGGAGACCTACGTAAAACATGGCAAGTTGAAGATGATCAAGGAATTGCGGACTGTTCAAATACTTATTTTCGGGATGTACGAGGCACTATTAGCAGGGAGCTTGAACAACAAAGATTGCAATATGAATCTGGTAACAAGAGATCTATCGCTCTGATCAACTTTGTCCAAAATTGTAGAGAAGATAATAAAGATTAAAATATGTGACTTTATTGAAAAAACCTTTAAATTCAATTTGCAACAATATGGCTTCCAAAAGGCTGCAAATACGCAGGTGGCAGCAGTTGACATGGTCGAGTATATGTCGAGTAGTTTGGACAGGGGCAATTATGGGATTGCTGTTTTCATAGACCTTCAAAAAGCGTTCGATACCGTTAACACTGAAATTCTTTTGGAAAAGTTGGAAGGTATGGGAATTAGAGGAGTAGCATACAATCTTATGAAATCGTATGACACTAAGCGACAGCAATATACATTGGTCAATCAACGCGATAGTGGGGTGGTTATCACAAACAGTGGAGTTCCACAGGGCTCAGTCCTGGGACCTCTATTGTATCTTTTGTATGTGCACAGTCTTTCAAAGGCAAACCTGAACTGTAAATATATAACATTAAGTGTCGCTTTCCGAGGATCCAAATATTCAAGACTTACAGCAGACCGTTAATCGCTCCTTGTCTACCTACTATAAATGGCTTCTCAAAAACAACTTGAACATAACATAAGTAAAACACTGTTCATGACTTTTAAACAAAAAAACAAATCAATAATCAATTCTATAGACATAAAGATTAATAATACAGCATTGAAAATGGTTCACTCCTACAAATACCTGGGGCTTACTATTGAAAAAGACTTAACATTCAAACTACATGTGAACTTATTGAGGAAGAAACTGGTTGGTGTATGTGGTGTAATGAAAAAATGTGTAAACCTTTTACCCAATTGCATAAAGACTGCAATATATGACGCAATTTTCAAATCACATCTTCAATACATGCTTTCTGTTTGGGCTGCATCTTTGAAGACACTAATTCAAAAACTGCAAAATAGATTCATAAAATACCTATATCATCTCCCAAGACTCTATCCAGCGTCTCTAATCTACCTATAAGGAAATTCAGTTGTTGAAAGTTGAACAAATAGTGCACCTAGAAGATTCCAAACTTATGCAAAAGATTATACACAGGCAATCTGCACATAACATCATCAAGAACTAACATTGGAAATAACAGAGCAATGATGACATACAACAATATTCCCGAAAATATACGAAGAGTAACTACACCATTTGTGATACAAAATTGTTGTGAATCAGGAACTTTTATATTTTTCCTTTTGCTCTTTTTCTTGTTTGCTTGAAGAACCCTATTGTTTGTATAAATATTATCTTTTGTATACTTATTACTGATACACCAAATTTATAATTTGGTATTGAGTTTACTTGAATTTGGTTTACATACAGATATGTAACTATACACGCCTGGCAATTAAACATCTTACACGCCAATTTTAATGCGATAGAAATGTCTAGAGAAAGTCTTAGGTTGAATACAGAACGAAAACAATTTTCCCTGTTCCACCTCTAACATTCCCAGCGCTTTTTACTGGAGATTCAACAGGGGAAATCATTTTTGTTCTTTATTTAACCTTAGACTTTTTCTAAACATTTCATTCTATCACATAATTAGGGAATCCATACCACGTGACTTTTGCCAACCAGCCGGCATTTTGAAATTTTTATGAGGTTAGAATACCCGTTGTTACATGTCAACGATGTCAGAAAAGTGTCAGATTGATAAAGCCTAGTACTCATAACCGCGAAATTCGCTCTTTTTTGACATTGCTTCGACAATTTGACGTTTGATTCACGCATAAAACGTCAAATTGTCGAAGTGATGTCCAAAAAGAGAGAATTTCGCTGTTATAAGTACTAGGCTTAATCCTGCCAAAAAAAATCATATGTTTTTTGTTTATTGTTTGCCAACCAGACGCCATTTGGACAGGTCGTTGGATTGCCTAATTGGCATGTAAGATGTTTACTTGCCAGGTGTGTATAAGTGATATAACCTCAAATATTTAATTCTGTGTTACATAAAAGCTAGGACTCGGTACCAGTCATGTACATGTACTGTTTTGAGTTCATAAATAAAGTTACATTAAAAAAGAAAGAAAAATATACCTAGTAAGGAAAGCTTGGAAGCAGATAAGAAATCTCGAATTTCACTACCAGAGACAAAGTTCGAATTAAACAAACATTTATATCTGAAGATTACTAACGCCTTTGGCTACTCGGAAATCGATTTGTTTGCTTCCTATATAAACAACAAATGCCAGAGATATATTTCAAGGTTTCCTGATCCAAATTGATTTGCAAGTAGATGCCTTTATAGTGTCTGGAGCAACTTTTTCCTTTATGCATTTCCTTCCTTCTGTCTAATTTTGAGAGTACTTAATAATATTATCTCTGACAAGACCTCAGGAATTGTGGTAGTTCCTAGATGGGTTTCCCAACCTTGGCATCCAATATGAAAAAAACTTTTGATTAAGGAATCCCACACTCCTACTGCCTAAGGATAATCCCATTCTTTTTCATTACAGATTAAAAAATCTACACATTTCCCTGGAGGCAGGAATGTTATGTGGCAAGCGTTGCTAAAGAAGGGAAACCTAGAGGAAGCTGAACCAACTATCCTCAATTCGCGGATCCAACCTACAAGCAGTACAAGCAGAGAAGTAGCAATAAGGCGTGCAAGTGGTTCCGCGCATAAGGGCCCGGGCACCTGGTGCCCTGGCGTGTCCTGCAGTCTTTGGACACAACATACAAGGAAATTAAAAAAAAATCATATTACGCGCGCCCAAGCAATCATTCTTTGCTTTGGCGATTTGTAATCAAAACAGGAAACTGTTATATCTATCTCTACAGATTTCTTTTTAGTCAGCCCTCCGAGTCCCAGTACTCGTGTTAATATTGTCAATTGTCATTCTGAATCGTGGAAATCCATTAGAATAGTCGTGTTCGTTTTTGTCACCTTTTTCGTCGATTTGCTCCGACATTTTGACAGGCACGTGATTTGTAGATTGAAACTGCCTGATCCAGTCACGTGCCTGTCGAAATTTCGGAGCAAATCAACGAAAAAGATGAAGAAAACGAACTCGGCAGCTGTTCACTTGTACTTGCTCTACCTACCTCAATGCTCTACCTGCTCGAAAAATCAGGAAGATCTGCTAGGAGCTGCTACCTATGAACCTATAATATATGGGCCAAGTGAACGCCGATCAGCTACTGAGGTCTGTTTGAAGCAAGAAAAGCAGTACAAATGAACAGCCTACTAGAGTCACATGAGTGAATCCCCTGTGGGATGTAGGAATTGTGGGATTTTGTCAACGAAAACAGTAAATTTATTATGTGAGGAGTCCGGAAATTGCTGGTTTTTTGGACGAGTAGACAAGATTCCCAAATCCAGGACGAAGCGTAGCCGAGTCCTGGATGACTGCGAGTCCGAAAAAGTTTTTCGGCTGGAAAGTACATACTTTCCAGACAAGGCCGGAAAATAGTCACTTCCTGACCTAAGTAATCACTGAAAAAGACATACTTTCTTGAGTAAAACGCGTCCGGAAAGTAAGTACTTTCAGAACGGTAGCCGAGCTAAAAACCTTGTATTAAATATTTTAGTTACTTTAACAAAAATAGCTATTGTCTGTTAGCCCTCCAAAAATGTCTCGCCTACGAATTTGCAATGCGACATTTTGCATAAAAACCCCCCCCTCTCCACCCCAATTACTTTGAACCTTCTTATGTCCATGTGGTGAAGGGGGCCCACTGTAGTCTTGTACCGGGTGTCAAGTTATAAAGTAACCTGTAACTTTTTTATATACGATCAAAAATAAAAAAGTTACAGGTGATGGTACTTTATAACTTGACACCCTGTACCAGGGCCCAGATTTGTCTTGCTACATCCCTGAGTACAAGACTGCTTATAGAAAGTGGTGAGAATTCTGCAGTAGGACAAAAATTGACTTGTTTGAAGCTACAGGAAAACACGTTCTCCGTTTCTTCTCTTACTTGCAAAAGCAAGGAAAATTAAATTATGGTTCATTTAATTCCGTACGCTCAGCTTTATCATCAATTCTTAAATTTGAAGTAGGAAACCGCCCTAATATGAGACGTTTTCTGAAAGGCATTTTCAGAGCAAAGCTCCCCAAGAGAAGATACAATTCAATCTGGGATACTAACTTGGTTTTCAACTTCCTAGATACAAGAATTAATGAGGACCTTTCCTTACTAGAACTTTCAAAGAAAACTGCGACTTTAGTAGCATTAATATGCGCTCACAGGCTACAGACGATTAAGAGTCGAAAATATAGTTTTATTTCAGGATGGCATTCAGATACTAGTGCCTGATCATATAAGGACTACTAGACCTGGAATGGAAAGCCCATGTCTACATCTTCCATTTTTCTTGGACAGGCCAAATATTTGCCCAGCATCCCGCCTGCGCATATTAACAAGACTGCAAGTATCAGATCATCACAAGAATTTCTCTTCCTTACAACAAGAATCCCTCATCAAACAGCTGCCGCAGCAACAATTGCGAGATGGATAAAACCCATGTTGGCAGAAACAGGAGTTGACACAAAAACATTTGGGCCATACTCCGTAAGACATGCTGCTACATCTGCAGCATATAACAAATGGGATCACCCTAGAAAATATCAGAAGGACTGCTGGATGGTCTGCAGAATCAAAGACCTTCGCAAAAGATTTGCAAAAGCACTTCTGAAATAGGCAAACTGATAGATGGAAGCTATCTTTGCTTTTAATATATTATAAGAAGAATGTTTTGGTTTATATTTTTATGAAAATAAAAATTATTATATCTTGAAACTGGAGGAAAAAGTGTAGTCTTTCAACAGCTACCCTGTTTCTAAGTGATATCATAGGACAGGCCAACGTCTTGAAACTATTAGATTAAACAAACTTACCTGTGAAGTTCTATCTAAATTTCAATAGTTAGCCTGTCCGTAGATATCACTTTTCCCACCCGCCCTTCCCGCCATTTTTTTCTCCGGATTCTAATCACTAAACTATAATGAGGATTTGGCGGCGGTTGTGAAAGAGAGGTTAACGACTTCTTTCTTTTTTTTTCAAACTCGTGATGACAGTTCACCAGAGCGATACTACCCAGATTCTAAGTGATATCTACTGACAGGCCAACTATTGAAATTGAAACTGCCTTTAGTTATATTGAACTTATGTTTACCATCTTAACAATCTTCCCTATAATGCCTAAAACCCTCACTGTCACTGTGAATCAACCAACAATTAAAGTTCAATGCATCTATCAACTTGCATCAAAACAAGCCACATGAAAAGTCAAAATGTGTAACTCAGCGCTTTCAAACTTTTCACCTCTTTGAAATACCATTTTTCCATAAAAAAATATAGTAAGAAGTTTTTAAAAGCCCCAAAACAAAAATCACTCTTCATTGACAAAAGCGACATATGTATATGTTTATTTTTTGCGTTATATACCGACACCCAATCGTACACATTAACGTCAAAAAGAAAGAAACAAAATTGGCGCAGTTAGCCGATTTTAAAATCAGTCCGAAGTAACACGATAATCTGGCCCGAAATGCTGGCAACTGCGATGTTGTCAGCGATTGTGCACAGATGAATCTGTTGACCTCGTCTCGAACTTGAAATCGCCTATTATTTTTTTTATTTATAATTATTATTAATTTTTTATTTCCTACAGACAGAACCTTAATAATTACAAGTGACAAGGAGCGCCACTACTTGATAGCTCTTCAAAATTTTGTTTTATTTTGGAAAGCTTGTGAAGATAAGTTTTAATTTAATTTTTACTAGGGCGTGGTTAAGGCAGGATATTTTTGAAAAAACAGAATAATGATAAAATGTTTAGGAACTAGCTAGAATTTTCATTGTTATGGAAATTTCCGAGATCAACAGCTGCTTTTGTGCGTTCGATGCAACAATAATATTTCAATATCTCGATTTTTTCAAAAATATCTGAATCCAAAAACCTAGCACAAATCAGAGATACTTGATAGGACTTTTCTTTTTGGCTAAAACATCAATAAACTAATTACAAATATTAATTGTAATGGGAGATGGGAAATTTGAGTGGTTTTCTTTTAACGTCGCTTTAAAAGGACCTTTAATTTACTCACTAGTTTTTCACTAATTGAATTTTTGTTGTTTGCCGACGATTCATGTTTACTTTGCTGTATATCATAAAGTCTATTAATTCTCTTTGTCTAACTTATCCGAATAATACAATTAGTTTTTTTTAACACAGCCTTATGCTTGTAACACTTATACAGGGTGTTACCAAATTATTATGTCTGTTTTCTGAAAAGTTAAATTTATTTATCAATACCTTAAATTTGTTTACAGAACATTTATATTTATTAATATTCTGATCGCCAGATGTATACAGTTAAACTTAGTCAATTCGATTAAAATATTTAGGGAAATAACAAATCACAATAAATCCTTTAGTAACACCCTGTATAATATGCTCAATTTTGTTGTTAGAGTTTTTTGTGAAAAACGTTTTTTTTTTTTTCTTATAATATTCAAATTAAAGATCCTTTTCTGTACAGAACGGTGCAAAAGCATGGAATAACAACATTCACAAATAAAACAAGGAATAATTCATATAGTCAAAGACAAGAGCGATTATTTATTATCATTGTAGAAAGGCATTATATGCGTAAAAACAATTGTTCAATATTATATTTCCTCTCAAAAAGCCATTTTTTGGATTATACTCTAACACTTAATAAAGTTTTTTTCAAGAAATAATAAATGCATTTTTAGTAGAAATTTTGTATATGCAAAATCAGCGCGCATTTCTCCATAAATAAGCGAAGTATTAAAATTACATTTTTGGACTTATGCCATACTTTTGGACCCCACCGTAGAGCACGGCCTCTCAATTATAAATTGCCAACAAATACGAGACTTGCCTCTCAAAGTATGTCTATGGACACACCATAAATCACACGCACACCACATGGCTAGTAGCGAGTTACTCGTTCACCGCCCTTAGAAAAATAAATGTACATGGTCCGCGCAAACAAGTCCTCGAATTTTTTTTTTGAGCAAACTCAAAAAACCAGCCAAAAATAATCCTCTCTCTCTCTCTCCTTTTCTTTATTTAAAAGAAAACAAGGTCGTTTTACATAATTTTTTTTACCCGTAAAATGTGACAACGCTGCCACAGAAGACCAAACTTAGTAGCAGCAGCAAAAACTGGCTTCGACGACAAAGAGGGGTACAAGTGGTGCTTGTGGTGTGTTGGTTGTTGTTCAGGGAGCGAGGGGGCGGTTATAACAGTTCATATTGGCGCAGGTGCATGCGCTGGATGATGTCACGGCAGTCGTTAAATACCCGCTTGATATTCTCCGTGTCGACGGCGCAGGTAAAATGAGGATAACAGTAGTGCTTGCCCTCGCCTGAAGCTGTACTTATACGCTGAAAAAAAAAAAAAAAAAAACATTTTATTTTTCTTGTGGTTGCTTCAGAGTGGAAAAGTTTATTAACATCGTGTAGGCGTTTTCCAACACATTGTGAAGATTCTGGAATGGGACAGCCTGCAAGTATAAGGTTTGACAGGTCTATTCCCGTATAAATTTGGCATATATGAGCAAATACACTATCTTTTATGCCCAAATTACTGCTGGAAAGAAGCTAGGAAAATATTTCCCTTTTAGTTTGCATGTGCTTTGACTTTCTAAAGGACAGTTTACAGTTCGCTATTTTCACTTGAGAAGAAAACTTGCAGGGATTTTTATGAAGGGCATGCGCACTTCGATCTTTCTCAGCTTGCAGCAAATAGCTCTCGACCTATTTTTCTAGCACTTGCATTTGCAAGTTTCAATATTTTTTGTGTTACCAACTGAATGACATAACTTGAAAAGTGATCAAAAATGTTTATTTATTATTTTTATTCATTTATGTTGAAGTGCACTTCTACAGAAAAAAATTCTAAATGGTACACTGAAGAAATATACCTAAATAATGATATGCAAATTTACAAATCATTAAAAATATAAATAATACAGCCTTTCTATGATGTACTGATTTCTCTCTTCATTACATTCAGAGCGGTATTGAAAAGATCTACATGGGAAAAGTCCTTATTGTAACTAGTGACCAGATGCGTCATGATGCAATTCAGACCATAGTGGGTTCTATGCACACGTTGGAAAAAGAGCTACCTTTGTCAGGTTTTTCTTCCAGGAACCAAAAATACAATTGTTGTCAGAAGTTCGGACGAGTAATGTGCTACAGAATTTTACAGAGAAAAATGAGCTGGGCATTTTTGCGTCGATTCTCAAAACTGTGTATGCCACAGAGCTGTAGATGAGTCCTATATTCAAGGTTTCAGTTTCTGACGGTGTCGACGGTTTCCAGATTGGCGTTGTTGATGGTGTATGTGGACAGTATAGAATCTATGGTCTTGTGAAAAATCATGTGTTTACACTTAGTTACACTTAGTTACATTGAGTTTGAGAAGATTTGAGTTGCACCAAGCGACCTACCTGTCCGAATCCTACTAGAAAGAGGTAGAGAGCCTGTCCACAACTGCGAAAAACTTCAAGTCGTCGATGTACAGTAAGCAGCTGGATGCTTGGGAGCATTGGGTAAAATCATTTATGAAAAGAACAACTAGAATCGGTCCGATGTGCGATCCCTGAAGCAACCCGGATGGAACTATCAACTCGTAGGGTACTGTAACGCACTCCGCACACCAACTCTTTGATATTTTTCCATTAAGCCCATATCTTTGAGTTTTTTAGTAACAACTTATGACACACGCTATCAAAAGCCTTTGAAATATCCGTGAAGATCACGTCCACCGGTTTTCCTGATTCCAAGGCTTTTGTTATGAACACAGTACACTACGAGCATTCAAAGTGTAAGCATCGGAATACTTCTGTACAGGGTGGGCCAAATTGGACACTTTCTTATGGAAACACCCTTTATTTTTAGAGATAGAAAAAAATAGACCCCCCACTCTGAGGCTCAAATTTCATGAAATCTTGATTGGTGCAAACTGCATTTTGATATCTTCAACCGTTTAGCCGCTAGAGGGCGATTCTCGATTTTGAGCAATATTGTAAAGTCTCCATAACTTTTTTATTTATGAAAATAATTCATTTCTGTAAAGACCTTTTGGAAACACTTTTTCAAGTAGAATTCAGTGACGTTCTCAGTTTTTTTCTGTCTGGCTTCGATTTCGATATATTGACCAATATCCGATTTTTTCCAATAGGGCACCCTATATATTAATAGTTCATTAGAAAGCTACGCTTTCGCTGATTTCAATGATATAAAGTTTGATAGGCTTATCTCCAACGGTTTTCGAGAAAAAAAATTATTTCAGTTTTTGTCATAAGAAACAATGTGTTAGAAAGAGACCTTTCTCAGTTTCCTTACAGAGATAAAGTCCTTTTCCAACACATTGTTTCTTATGACAAAAACCGAAATAATTTTTTTTCTCGAAAACTGTTAGAGATAAACCTTTTGGACCTTATATCATTGAAATCAGCGAAAGCGTAGCTTTCTAATAAACTATTGATATATAGGGTGTCCTATTGAAAAAAATCGGATTATGGTCAATATCTCGAAATCGAAGCCAGACAGAAAAAAACTGAGAACGTCACTGAACTCTACTTGAAAAAGTGCTTCCTAAAGATCTTTACGGAAATGAATTATTTTCATAAATAAAGAAGTTATGGAGGCTTTACGGTATTGCTCAAAATCGAGTATCGCCCTCTAGCGGCTAAATGTTTGAAGATATCAAAATGCGGTTTGCACCAATCAAGATTTCATGAAATTTGAGCCTCAGAGTGGGGGGCCCATTTTTTTCTATCTCTAAAAATAAAGGGTGTTTCCATAAGAAAGTGTCCAATTTGGACCACCCTGTACATACAACAAAAAAGTTTTTTTTTTCTCTCTTTATTTGCGTTTATCGGTGTCGGACGAGGAGGAGAATAGACGAAAAAGGAAACGTTCAGGACATCCATCACAACAACAAATTAAAAATATAATCATCGGACCTCAAGACGACACCATAAAAAACCAATCCACTAAAGTAAATTATTCTACAAAAATGCTGGCCATCACAAAAAAAGAATACAAACACCTGTTCTATTTATCAACAACAAAAAATATGACCAGATTAGAGTTTGCAGATATTTGGAATGAACAACAATGGGAAAAAAGCGATGTAATTGTGAAAACATCAAAAGGGTTACTGCTGAAAACAGACAATAAAAATAAGATTAAGGAGATTCTTTCAAATATCGTCCAATCCAAAGTACTAACGACTTTTAAGGAAACTCAAGCTAATATGAAACGGGCGGACAATACATTCACTGCAACATATTCCAGTCTCATTAGTTCTGTTGAGAGAGATATTCCAGATGAAGAAATTAGTCAGCACCTAACCAATGAAGGAATAATACACCGTTTTTGCAAACGAATAAAGTCGCCAGCTACCGGCAATTGGACTACGTTAATAAGAATTATTACGGGCGATTTAAACTCCTTTGAAAAACTTCTTAACTGCGGTTTTCCATACAAATACAACAAAGTATATCCAGTTTTTCCTAGTAAAGCCCTAGAGCCTCTACCAGTTCCATGTGGAAAGTGTTCACAGTTCACGCATACTACAGACCAGTACCCAAATCCCATAATATGCCAAAAATGCAAAGGAAAACACCACACAAATTCCTGCACTACATCATTACCAGAAAAATGTGCTGCATGTAATTCTAAAGAACACCAGGCATGGTCAACGAACGTCCAAAAAGACCTCTTAAACCCATCGAGGGAATTCCAAAAACCCTAAATAAAATCAGCAAGTACATTCATTCCATGACCACATAATCGAGACTTACGTCACCAATTTAAACGAAAATCACAACGTTGAGAGGCAAGAACTTGTAAACAAAATGAAAAAAAGATTTATGGATCTTTTCCGTATACTTAGACACAACAGCAGTTTTCAGTGGAAATCGATTTTACATTCTAATGTTTGATTTGGATGAGCCAGCAAACAATGATTCACCAACAGAACCAGCCGACAGTCTTAAAGTGTATCAAGATGGATAAGTTAAAATTTATATATGCAAATATAAACAGTTATGCCTCCAAAAAACATCTTGGACATTATTATGCACAAACCAACAATATAGACTATATTATGTGTGTGGAAACCAAGTCAAAGGAAAACACCTCTCCGCTAAACAACTGGGACATTATTCAACAAAAAAGTAATATTGTCAATACTAACATATAAGGCAGTTTATTAGTCCAAGCAAAACAACAAGTCAAGCTAGGAAAAGCCAATCCACCAGCAATCAATAATACATTAAACAGTTGCTTGCACTTCACTATCCCTTTCCGAGAGAGTAAGCTGCATATATTATTGGTTTACATTCACCCATCATCGCGCATAGAAGAAACCATATTTACGAAAGCCGCACTATACGAATACTGTGTGATAATTGGCGACTTCAACCCAAGTGCTGGAAAAAAAGAACAACAGTTGAATTTCTTCATGCAGAACTCCGATTTTGTTAGAATTAACACACCAACTACACCTACATTTATCATGATGAACAACCCAAGCAGCACACCTGATATAATATTATGCACTCAGAATATTAAGAAAAACATTAATAGTTCATTAACATCAGACCTAAGAAGTGATCATCTCAGTATACTATGGACTCTGCATGCTACAATACCTCCAGAAGATAACTACATAGAAGAAACAAAATATAACATACAAAAATGTAACATTGATGTTGTCAGGGCCGCAACTAGAACCCTCGGCGCCCAAGGCAAGTCCAAATTTTGGCGCCCCTCCGCCGCGTTCTCAAAAAAGGACCGCTAGAACGGTTCCGAACCGACTCTGGTTGATCCGCGAGTCAACCAGAACCGTAACTGAAAGTTCCGAATTTTGTGATCCGCGAACGCCATTACTTGAACTGCGCATGCGAAATAGTTTCGAACCAGTTCAGAATCCTTCCGCGAACGAAGCTATTGTAAAAGTAAAAGCTGTTTACGGAAACTATGATCGGGTTAACCTGATCGCTAGCAGACGTATTTTGTTTTTTTTCAATCCCATTTCCGACTGATTATTCTAATGATGATTGGACCCCATGACTGTGCTTACTCCTTTTATTTTCTAGCCTACGAGTACATTCTTTGGTGATGTCATGCAAGAGCTTTAATTTTTCAACGTTTTCGGTGGAAAGGTTTAGGAGGTCTAATAACTTGTCTATCAGTTTCGAGGCTAATAGTCGTTTGTTTTCATATCTATTCTGAAGCAAGTCCCATGCTGTCTCGTAATAATTTTCAATAGTTGTCAGATGCTGAATGAGTCTTGCAGCTTCTCCTCGAACATGTGTTTTGAGTAGTTGTATCTGCCTTGGAAAAATGTATGTTGTCGTGGACTA